GTCTGATACAGCCTCACACGCCACGTAAACATTAACTGCTGAATTTGCACTGCAAGGCCACTGGGCAGATAGAGCAGCGTCGTTCCGCGCACAGCACTGGTGAGGCACGACAATTAAGTTCGCAGGAGATGATGCGCTCTGCGACCTTGCCGGCACAGGAGGCAGGGGCAATGACCAGTAATTCGACGGTGCTTTCCATGACACTTGTCTTGAGAATAAATTGATGTTTGCCTGCATTCCCCCTGTGCGGATATGAACGCCAGGACCCTGCAGATGCATGACATCTTGGTAAGGGGGTCATAACCTTGTCAGCGCATTGAACAATCATGCGGGCGCTGATATTGTCTGTGCAACCGGCCTTGCCACGGATCACAGACAGCGATGCACTTTTTGCGCCTCGGCTTTCGGCACATACCGTTAAGTCAGAGCGTTCAAGTGGCATGCGGGTGCGTTAGGCAGCACGGTTACCATGGGGTCGGTGGATTGCCTGGGCTAAGCCTCGCCCAGCTCGCTGGCGCGGGTCTGACCATCGGCCATGTGATTACCAGGAGCGACATGCAAGAGAGGTGAGACACGTGCTTTGTGAGAAACACATCTAAAAGACGACCAGTACTCTTTAGGGGTTAGTTTTAAAATCGTGTCAGCCCACGCCATCACTGAAGTATTGAAGATCCGACAGTGACCTGAAATTTTATCTCCTGTGGCAACGTCGGTCATCCTTGCAGCAGCAAGTTTCTGTAGCATATGGAATGCAGAACATTGACAGAACTGGGTGTCATTAATGTGCTCAATAGTTGCTTGATAGCGGCGGTGAATCGACACTTTCTAGTTCATTGAAGGCCGGCTTTTGTTGGAATAAAAACTGCCAACTACTAATAAAAAACAGAAGCCCAAAACTTTTCTTGTTGATAAAAAGGTCAAATATTAGCAGTCATCGCTGATTGTAGAACACTTATTGTCAAATAACGCCGAAAAATTTGAAGCCTTTTCCATTTTTCCCTCTTGATGGCCCTTTTCAGTCCCATAAAGCGAGTTGTGTAGAATGGCACCTCGACGGTGGACGTGCGGCCTTCCTTTCGTAGTGGGCTGGCGGGCGGCTGCAGGCGGGCTGTTGTGCTGTCGGCCATGTAACTATCATCGCAAGTTTGGATCGTTTGAACAGAGCTGTCAAACAAACCAGCGGTCTGACTTATTCTCAATTGTTTCGTAACTCAGGCAGGTCCCCCACACAAAGCATCAGTCTGTGTTCGCCGTTCTAGACCCAAGTTCAGAGCGAGAAGATTGTGACCATGCGTTGCAATCAAAGCCGGCATAATTACCAACACTCTGAACTGGTCGATCGCACGGCTGAACAAGCGTGTACAGTGGTTCACATCCACTCTAACCGGTTCCTGCTGGTCCAGGTTTTTTTTTTACTCCGGTGCTGCTGTTAAATTTCCACATTAAAATGTAGGGATATGAAATCAAGTTTACGATCACACTAATCATAGCCCTAGTGGCGTCTTACTTTGGACATCAGCCTTTGCCTTCCACAGCTGTCTGAGACCCATAACTCACCACCAGCTATTTTTCGAAATACAACCATTTCACTTGGCTACCTTGGCCGTTACATCACCACATGTACACAATGTGAAATGCGTATGAATGGTACGTAAAACGCTAAACATGTATCAATTACGTCATACGAAATGATATAAGAACAGTACACCAATTAATATCATTCACCAGCCCAAACCAGGTACGATATGCACTCTCTGGTAGTCACAAGCACGTGAGCCGAAGTCAGGCTGGCAAGTCACCACGATGCCTATACAAACATGTCAAAGGATCAAACGCGCTTACTTATACAACCCTGACATACGGCAGACCTATACGCAAGTTACAGTTTCTGGTATCAGGGTCTGGGCTCTGCATGACCACTTGCAATTGACGCCGCCGAAACCCCTAAAACTCCAAACATGCATCATAGCACCAAGGTCACGGTGGTTACCAAGAAGACTCATACATCTGGCAACCTTCAGAGACACACACACACACACACACACACACACACACACACCCACACACACACACACATCTATATATCTATATATATATATATATATATATATATATATATATATATATATATATATATATATATATGGAAGAGCGAGACGCGATACAATTTGCCAACCACTCTTTCCTCGCATGGGGGGCAAGACGCCAATGTAAAAGACCACTGTCCGGTTGGAAGACGACGAAGCGCGTGTTGATACCGAATGTCCGGTGATATACCGACAACCTCAGTACACACATCAAGTCACATTCCAGGTCAGCAGTCAACACAGACCAGCGGGAGCCTTTTCAGTGGTGAGGCTGCCTACAGCCCCGTCCAAATCCCAGCGCTGTCGTCGCGACGGGCAATGGTACAGCCCACATCCAACCAACAACCGTGCATGATCAGCTATTCGTCGCCAGGTCCTGCCGTATACCCGATATCTTTTCCAGGACTGCACGATAGTGTGGTGTGGTGCCCTCAGTGTGGCAGCATTGAACTTGGAGTGATTTCATTTTGACGGTATCTGTCGTGTAAAATTACCAACACATTGTACTTGTTTGTGATCATCAGGACAGCACTGGCCAGTACTACTGTTTCTAGTGCGTGACCCAAAATAAACACCGAGTGATATTAACCAGCGCGTTGAGATAAACACGAGGCATCGTTGGACGGGCGCGTGTAGCGAGCGATAACAAGTCTTCTTCAGGGTCAGCGGTTAGGCCGGGATCAGGCGGCTTCCTCGGTCCACAGCGGCGCTGCCGCCGCGCCGGACCCGGAGACCGGAGGCGGGACGACAGGTCAGAGGTCGTCGCTTCCTCCGACGCGAGTGCAGGCACAGCCCAGGATGGCATCTGAACGTCCCCGTTGGCTGACACTGGGGCTGCGCGCACGTACTCGGCCGCCAGCAGCGGAGCGCCCCCCCCCCCCCGTGACCGGCCTCTGCTAATGCGCATGCTGCCTGAGTCGTGTCAGTACCGCTGTGGTCCACCTGCAGGGTCGCCACGCCCGCGCCTGACCTCTAGCCGGCGCACCCAGACCGGCGCCCCGGTCACTGAGTCCTCGACTTCCGACTCGGTCATGCCCTCGACTTCCGTCGCGCGGTGCAGCGTTCGGCGCCGGGTATAGACGGCGGCGCACGCCTGCCGGCCGCGCCCGTGGCCAGCCCGGCGACTGATGCGGCACATAATGCACTTCCTGCGTGGCATTAGCCGTGCCCATCTATCATTATCCACGTCAGGTTAATTGGCTGATGCCTCGCCCCGCGCCGACCGGCCCAAGCCGACCGCCGTCCAGGGGGGGGGGGGGGGCGTGGGAGGGGAGGGTCTGACGACAGCGTGACGACATTCGCGATGAACGGCGTGTCATGCAACCCTTCCAGCCAGTTTAAATCCGTACGAGGCATGTGACTGGTAAGCACATGTGACCAACGTAAGGGGGACAATGAATCAATGTCACGTGATGACGTGTTTACGGGCGGCCGGGTTTGAGTGCTAAAGCTTGGGGTATGCACGGCGGGGGCGGCGGGGCACTGCCAAAGCAGCGAAAGCGAATGAGACCGACACGTCGTAAGGATCCCCTGACCTTGTCCTAATTCTCGTGCCGGCCGGTGTGGACATGAGCCAAACGAACTTTGAACAGTGCGCTGCTAAATCGGGAGAGCCGCCATTCGCCGCACGGCCTCCTAATGTGACTTTGTTTTCGTACATGAGTACACGTAAGCCGGTTGAAGTGGGGGTGACCATGCGTATCGACAAACGTGTAGCATAGATGATGGCGGAGTGTGTCTAACAGGGACAGTGGAGGAACAGACCAGCTGGAGGTTATCGCCGAGTGATTGCTGTATTCAGAAGCATAAAGGTGCGTAGCACCGCCTGTCTAATTCGACCGTGAAAGGTCATACACTTAAAAACGTAATGTAAACATATCTGACGTAACGCATGGCTAGACCCGACAAAAAGGTTGGAAATCTGGTGCAAGGATTTGTGCTAGTAGGACCCATATTGGTATACCATGGCCCATCATTGTGATTGCAACCCTCGCGTCCAGATAATTTAATCAGGTTTGCACGGAGATCCCAGACATTTAAGAAAACAACGTTGTTTAACGTCGTTGTACCCGACGGGCAGAGCCATAACATGAACCGTGATGTCTTACCATGAACCATGACAAGAAAAGTAATGTTGCAGATCAACTCCTTTGTCGCAGTGGGAGATTACGTAAGTTGTAGATCACGTAGAAAAAAGCGCTAAATATGTATATCACGTAGGACACAGATACACACATTTTGCACGTAAGGCACACATTTTCAGCGGTATGCATTGAGACTACAAGCTCTGAGAAATGAAGACTGTAAATGACTATTGAGTGCGCCGTTAAGTCCCAGCGACGGCGACGATCTGTTTCATTATCGGTCCGCTCTCCTGGCCCCTCGTCTTCGTCGGTAGACTGACCCGCAAAGCCGTCCAGGCGCGGCCATACTAACCCGCAGTGACCACGGTGCGTCAGGTGGAATTTATCCAGGAAACAGATCGGCGGCCTTCTCTTTATGTTGTCGATTTTGTTCCAAAAAATCCAGTCACATGATTCACCTGCTTACAAGATGCCATAATCAGGGTAGCTGTTGAGTGTATGTCTGGTACGTACACACCACCCCGCGCAGTCTCCAGCGTGGCAGCCAAATGGTCTGAGGAGGCTACATCGTGCCATGGAATGATATGACACACACTGCCAGGCGTCGTGAGGGCTACCGATCGCGGAACGCCATACATTTGGTGGCGGTGCAACACATGACGACTGCCAGAGACTCCTGGCGAGTTCGCCGTTTTTAACTTTTTTCCGTTTTGCACAGCAGGGCGATCACAGTCTGGTATATCAACTGAGCTGAGACACAGAAGCTAATGGCAAACCCCCACGCAAATCACAAACACGACCGCCGAGAGTGGTCTACACGCCGACTCACCGCCCGCGACGTTGGTGCAGAGCTGCGGCAGCGTCAGCAGGCTGAAAGTTACGGAGGCGTACGCCAACATCCTCCGCATGGCCTCTGCAACAGAGAGCTTGGTTAGCCAGGCGAGTCAGAAGCAGCACGGCGTCAGTGATACGACATCGGCTTCGAGTGAGCGACGGCAGAGTCTCGGCGGCTGGCTTTACGGTGGCGTTCGCAGTGGGCGGAGGCATTTCATTCACACAGGCAGTTTGTTGTACATGCAATATGATTACACTAGATGACATTTATTTTTGTATAACTTAAAGCCAACGCTTTACAGGAATGTCTCGGAGATCGAGACCTTTGCTAACAATAATTTGCCGTGAAGATCCTGACCCCACCACCTAAGCAGAGCAATTTCAGCTTTATAGGAGGGTTGTGACCAGGTATGGATATCATGTATGGGATAATTGTTCGGATTATTGTCCTCGTCTCGCATGGTAGCATGCACACAACTTTTCAGCCAGTCTAACTCTCGGGCCGGCATCAGGTGTAATCGAGCCATTAGAAGAGCTGGAAGATGTTTGGTTTTCAGTCAATCCGCATCTTCTCCTCGAAATCGCGGATATTAGAACCAGGGTTTCCTGATTGCGGATATTCGAACCAGGGTTTCCTGATTGCGGATATTAGAACCAGGGTCTCCTGATTGCGGATATTCGAACCAGGGTCTCCTGATTGCGGATATTCGAACCAGGGTCTCCTGATTGCGAGTCCAATAATCTACCAACTGAGCTAAACGAGAAGGACTATCATTCCCTGTACCGGTACCTCTACGGCATTGCCTACAGTTATGCAAAGTTAAGCGCGGCTACTCTGTGCCGTTCGCAAGTTGTTCTGGAAAAACCTTCGGGGGTCAGAATGGCCCTCACCAGAGCGCGTGCGCAGGTGACATGATGGAAATAAGAAAGATATTGTGATGACAGGCACGAATTCCAGGGAAAAGATGACCTTGCTTGATAAATGCAAATATTGTGTTGTATTGCATTGTATTGTATTACTTCCATATGGTCATTCACAAAGGAGTGTGGCTATTACAGCCCGTGCCAAAAGAACAGGAGTTAAAGACATGCGGATAAAAAACAAAACATCCAATGCACAGACACTATAACAATATGATCAAATTTAGTTAAAATAAATAAATAAAAATAACGATATAATATAATGGCATGCTTTTGGCAGCAACACGGATTTCGGCTATTTATATTTCAGACGTTCACCGACATGCATACCTAGTTTGCTCAGAAGTAATAAATAACACACATCCACTAGCGTACAAATGAGATACAACCACCCAAAAACTTAAGTTTTAGAATATGCCCGGCTCAGTTTTGACTTATTTTCATGAGTGATCCAAACAAAAGGATGTCACGTAATATCGGATTTTTTTTCTCAATTCATTTGTTCAAAATGTCAACGCGATATTTAGATGAGTGGCAATTAGTCATAACTGTGTTAAATGCCACTTGGACAGACTTTTCGGATGCTGGCGTAGCTCCCGTGACATTTTGCTTGCCTTGACCCCTGTTTGCACTAGGTGGACTTTACCTCAAGTACTTGCCAGAGCAATTTAACCCCCTCAACTTTCGGCATCGACCAGGCAGATTTTTTCTGTTCGATGGATCATAATGACCGTCGTCATTGGTGCAGTCAGAATTTGTCAAGGAAGAGGTAAGAAAGCTTTAGATAAAAAATTGCACTAAGCTACCCATCAGGGGCTTTGTTTCAACAAATGACTTTTGGAGGGTGGAGGGGGGGGGGGGGGGGGCTGAACGATGAAAAATGGTGAAACCTTTCCAAAAAATACGCCTGAACGCCAAATACGCCCGACTGTCTTCCCCCCGAATTTGGTTAATTGTATTCTCACAGTTGGGGGTCGGAAGCCAAGTTGGGGGAGGGGCCGGAGTCCCCCCCAACTGAATAGGAAATTGGACCCTCGGCACCCACATAGGATACTGCACAATGCATGCAAACGCTTTTCGCACCAGCGACTGATGCGGGAATAAGCCGTTAGGAGGGTTGGCAAGGTTTTGCTAGCTACTCGAGCACATTGTCAAGGTAGCATAAGCGCTATGATATCTTGGAAATGTTCTCGTGTCTGTTTGTCTCCGCTTTTTCTGATCGGCTGCTCCCGCTAGCAAGCAAAGCTTCCTAGAGATAACGAATTGGCCAGCTGGTACTCACTGGTCTACTGTCGTCCACGCGGAGCGAGTTTCTGGCGCACGTTCTGCCGCCGACCCTTGGGCCGCCCGGCTCAACCCGCACAGAGGGCAGCACTTACCACCAGCCAAGAATGCCAGAGGCGCGGCCATTTTACAGTTTCTCAGTCTGCGAGGGATGTGTGGCCAGTTAAGGCACAGCTTTCTCTCCACAGTCAGAAGTTATTACGGAAGACCATACCATTTCACAACGTTAACACGCGCTCAAGCGGGGGTCAAATTGACCCCCCCCGGAAGGTTTTTCCGCAGTGGTTTCCGAACAGCGCGGTGTAGCCGCGCCAAATTTTGAATAACTGTAGATAATTGAATAGCGGATCGTTTGGCATCAAAAATTTAGATGTATCTTGTAAGGCCACTGACCTATGGCAGGTCAAAATCAGGTTATGGTTTCAGCGAAGGCAATTTCTAGGGAATCCTTTAATCTGATCCAACAACAGAGTGTTAGAGGAAATCATACATCTCCGAGATGCTTTCTTACGCAACACAATAGTAGAATGAACAAATTACATTGGCCTATGGTCAGGTATGAAGATCACACCAAGGTCAAAACCAATCTGTTTTGTTATTCTAGGGCTTGCTGTATGGGATACTTTCTGGTGCTCATTTCGAGTTTATTGATGGCGGGAACCGCATTATACTTCCTCTACGGACTTCTTAGAGGTCAGAATACATCACTGACATAAAATAACCCAGATCAACTATTTGTTGTAGGAGCATACTGCCTAACGTAATTTTTGTCGCTTAGTCAAATGCAAAACTCAACGAAATCTTGTATTATTTTGGTCACCTTGACCTTCAAAGGTCAAACAAGCTCACTGACCTTGAGTGAGCATGTGATCTTTTACTTAGAAACGGTTATCTGGGTTCTGGTGGCACTTTGGAGACCAACCTGGAACTTGACTTTGTTTGACCTTATTTGACCCGAAGGTCATGACCTAGAAACTTGAAACTTTGAACTAAGTGAGTTCAAGTCAGGTCAACACACCCTGTAAATTTGGTGTCTCTAGCTTTCTAGGTTCCCGAGATCTCAGGGGGATCAAATTGCCCCCCCCCCCTCTCCACACGAGCGAAGGGTATTTAGCCGGCCACCCGGGCGCGTGCTAATGTCAGGCTCTTGTTTCACACGAATACAGTTATTTACTTTGGGTGCAACCTGAACAAAAATACACGCCATATGCACATTTATTAATGCATAACAACATTCAGCAGCTGTTATCAACATCAGTATCAATATCAATGATATACTCTACACTTATATGCGTATATATATATATATATATATATATATATATATATATATATATATATATATAGAATAGCGTAAATTTCGCTGCACAATAGGACGTTCAAGCATAACATTTGTTTGTTATGAGACGGCTCACATATTAATTCAAGATTTGACGAATTTGCGACTATTTTTATTTTCAACTATTGCCGCCCCGCAAGCCCCCCCCCCCCCCCCAACACCTTTATCATCATTAAACTTTTATCAAGTGACCCACTAGCTACACGTCATAGCTTAAGATGTGGGATCAACATGGTTAGAGAGCGCTAAGGGTTTTGTTTCAAGCGTTCAAGTCGATATTGATGTCCATTTCGATCACGTCATGCCGAGCCCTTTCCACGAAAATGGGGTAAAACTGCCGATTTGTAAGCTTCTTGCGCATCCCCTGTCCAAACGTTCATTTTGAGAAAGAGGACACCCACAAACTAGCATAGAACCAGGGAACCAGCCTGGTTCGATGCTAGTTCGATGCTAGCCATGAGCACCGACACTTTTCCACAGTGTTATTTTTAGACACCATACTGAACATGGCAATGCGGTCCAAAAATTTAGATCATACCAATATTTTTCGGCAGCTGAGCTCGAGCAAATACCCGCCGTAGTTCTCACATTGCAAAAGTCTGGCTACGCCTTTCCGTTCACACTTCTATTATTTGCACACAACGGATGTGCTACCTGCATATATATCTTATTACCGGTGACTTCTTATACCCCTACTAGGAAGGCCAGAATGACGTCTTTGCATGGCGTAGAACTCACTTAGTGATAACAGACGTGGGAGTTATCAATTGGCGTGACGTGGATAGTGTTTACCAAAACCTGAGCCAAGCCTATCGCCTTCCGAAACTGACGCAAATGTTTCTAATCAGTTCACCGAACTGTCCGGTCTACATGATATAAATGGCTGCTGGTGCATCTGCGCGTTGGACAGCTGTGATATCACGTTACCGTTTGAAGATGGCATATTCGCTTTCAAACATGCAGGTCGTTTTACGCCTTCATCGACTCTGGTTCCCGAGACCTGACTTAAACCAATGAAAACAGTGGGTGGGTCGAGGTTTATCCTCGAGCGTGCAAGTCCACTCGCACGCACCGCCGCCCACGCGTCCGGTAATACCGTTATGTCCTTAATCACTATGAAGTGGTTCCATGACGTTGCCATGCAGAAAATGGAATAGACCATTGAAACCACTGGGACCACTGGGTTGCGTTGTGAAAAAACTCTCGCACTTTTCATTACGAGCTTCGTAACATAATTGCCGCGTTGTAATTGCTCGAAAATGACGTGTTCAGGACGCTTAGGCTTAATCCGCGTCAGTCGGCACGGTAATTGTGACTTAGGGTGCGTATTTCGTCGGTGGGTATACGTCTGTTTGCTGATGCTAGCTCGCGCGAAAGTCGCCCGAGCTCGGAGCTCATGCAACAATCTTTGCACGCATTAAATGTCGCTCATGTCGATCGCAATGCTATCTTGACCACATGACAAGGTGCCGACGCGTAAAAGAAGGGGAGAGACATGAGCAGCGCCAGCCGTAGCAACAAAGACTTTTGAGCGTCGCCGCGCCGCCATAAAAACAAATAAGTTGCTGTTAACACCACCAGCCCACAGCCATGGTTATGTTTGTAGTCTGATAAGTCATCATGACGTTAGATAAGCCAGCGAGAATCGTGCGCTGTACATATATCCACTTGTCTCATTTATCAGACATGGTTGAGTTTTTCCAGGTGCAAAGCTGTCAGACGGAAACTTTGTTTATACCAGGCCTGTCGTAGGGCTCTACCCCGTTTGAGGGCGGCATAGAACTTGTACCAAACCGAGTGCAGATGTACACAACGACCGAATAAGTATGCCATTTAGTTACCCATTCTAGTAGACGAGACATACGCCGGGCAAGACCCACCCCTGACCAGGACTAGTCCATGCGATGCATTCAGCACCCCCACGCCCGTCTGCACCCCTCCGCCTCTCACCTGAGTGAATCGCCTAGAAGAGAGCCATGCCCCTGGCGATAGCCGCCGGCGCCGTCCTCCACTGCCCCGGCCGGCCCCACACGCCCGACTGGCGCCGCCGCTGGCTTGACTCCGCCCCCCACCCGGGAGGCCACCGCCCCCCGAGCCGCATTGGTCCTCGGCACGAGATGGAACGCGCGGCGGCGGCCGACGAGCGGCGCCGCCCGCGCCCGCAGGGACCACCGTGTGACGTCAAGACGCCGCCGCCGGGCAAACGACGCCAGAGGCCGAGACCAGCTGCTCGGGCGCCGCGTCAGCCGGTGCCACGGGCGGCGGCTGGGGCTCGCAGTCGATGAGGCGCCGTGCGTGTCGTCGTCCTTGAGACAATGAAGATCACCGGGCACGGTTTCAGTTACGATCAGTCCTCCGACGTTTTGCGTTAGATAGCGATCACGCGAAGATCGTGATGTTCGTGCGATACTTGGCTCACATACTTGTGCGCGGGGAGTGGCTACAACCGGAACGTGAGAAGTCGGGAGCAAAAGGCTGTCTGGCTAGTTTGCTCCGATGTCGTGTTGTGGGCGGGTAATAGGCGATCTGTATTCGGCTGTTTTTACGCCTGGTTTTGTCTGGTCAGCAACCAAGCAGCCTGTTCCGAGAGCTATACTATCGACCAATCCAAAATGTCGCTCCGCATATGCCTTAGTTTCAAACATCATGCATTTAATGGACACATGACCAGTCCAGCCGGCAGCACATAGGCATACATGTTAGGTTAACATTTATTGCCCAGCTTTGTCACTAGCCTTGTGCTTTGACAGCTTCAAGGGTTTGGCCAAACTCAGATAGCACTCCTACATTATTTGCCTTCGAACGGGTGCAAAAATATTGATTATTTAAGCAGCACTCCAGCTCCACCAAATCTCTACACGGATAAAACAGTTATATAATGTTTGTGCTTGCATTGCTTCGTTTTGTGCCACAATCATCGCTTGTCCATCACTGACGGACATTCGCAACCGAGGTGGCGTCTTGCGTACCTTGACCTTTGCTTCTGAGAATCGAGCTCAGTCAGCGCGCCGCGCTAGTTTGCTTGGCATGGCAGTACAGAGGTAACAGGATGCATAGATGCAATTTTGCCCCGAAAACATTGCCTCTTTTGTGCCCTACGTTGGGTCATAATGCTTTTAATTGAAACGTGAACCAAAACTTATAAAATCAAACGTTTAAAATCGCAAAAGTGTGCGTAAGTCGTGTGTGGTTCTCAAATTAGCTTAGACGTGCGAGCATGGTGGGGCACGGCATGCGCGCATCTCCGACAATCTGAGAGCCCTGTAAGACTTCAATGCCGATGTCTCTACAGTATCTGACTTCCGGGCGCTCGTTGTTTCCAGTCACACATGATTGGTAGAGAGCACCACAACCGCGCAAACGACCCCCCATAAAGCCCAAATTAGTGCTAAAACTTTGCAAAATTATCACGCCGTTAAAAGAAAATTCGCGAAAAACAAAAGCAAACCCAAAGATGTCAAAAGAAAATGCCGCAACTTTTCCTGCATTCAACTATAAACGGTGCTTCGACAGACGAAATCTGTGTGACAAAGGGCTTTCTGGCGAAGAATGCCTTTAGAAGTCCTCTGAAATGCTTACACACACAGATGACTTCTCGTATGACATCAGCTTATCGGCGGAGTCCCGTAATATCCGAAACAACAAGAAATCTCCTTTGCTCAAAAAGCTAAAGGAAATTCGAAAACAGCTATTCTTAAATGTTCACGTATATCCATAGTGAATCCAGAAAACTTTCAGACAGGCGACAGGCCACCTCTCAGAACATCTGCTTTAGAGTATTATCTTTCAGATGGCTTGCTTTAAGAACGTTTGCCTTTGGATGATCCTACTCACAAGCTTAATTGTACAAGGTGCAGCGGCTGTTCAGTTGCTCTGCAAGAATTGCGACGAAGCAGACGCGCCTACGGAACTTGTCTTAAAGGCTGACGTGCACTGAAGCCGAATGCTCGTGTCGGGTACGGCTGGCAACGTTCCTTCGCATGTTCATACTGTGGCTTCAAAGCATGTCCTTTCTTAATGGTGACGACGACAGCTTTATGGATGAAAACCTAGCCTACAACAGCGGCAAATAGTTGGACGCAATTGGATACGATAAAAGAATTACAGAGGTAGTGAACAGCAGCGGAAAGAGGCCGTGATCAGAGGCTGGGAGACGTAAAGGGACCCGTTTGCGCAATTTGCCACGTAGCATTTGCCCTTCGGCGATGTTGTAATAAACGAATTAAGATAAAACGTAAGATCTTCTCTTTCTGTAGATGGATAAGCCGTCTAATTCTGATAGAGTTTTCATTCGGGCTCAGCAGAGTCAGACTAACGGAAATACTTCCCATTTGTGACGCTGTTCATGACGGGACCCAGCCATGACGGGGGACCTCGGCATACCTCCCGGCGTCGCAGGGAATCGTCACGCCTGTCGCGCGGACCTCGGCATACCTCCCGGTGTCGCAGGGAATCGTCACGCCTGTCGCGTGGACCTTGGCATGCCTCCCGGCGTCGCAGGGAATCGTCACGCCTGTCGCGTGGACCTCGGCATACCTCCCGGTGTCGCAGGGAATCGTCACGCCTGTCGCGTGGACCTCGGCATACCTCCCGGTGTCGCAGGGAATCGTCACGCCTGTCGCGTGGACCTCGGCATACCTACCGGTGTCGCAGGGAATCGTCACGCCTGTCGCGCGGACCTCGGCATACCTACCGGTGTCGCAGGGAATCGTCACGCCTGTCGCGTGGACCTCGGCATACCTCCCGGTGTCGCAGGGAATCGTCACGCCTGTCGCGTGGACCTCGGCATACCTACCGGTGTCGCAGGGAATCGTCACGCCTGTCGCGCGGACCTCGGCGTACCTACCGGTGTCGCAGGGAATCGTCACGCCTGTCGCGTGGACCTCGGCATACCTACCGGTGTCGCAGGGAATCGTCACGCCTGTCGCGCGGACCTCGGCATACCTCCCGGCGTCGCGGGGAATCGCCGCGCCTGTCGCATGGCAGCATAACCCAACCGTCATGGCAACGGCCTGCTGCAGTGCCACGACCATGATCATTCAAGATCTCTGCAGTGTAAAGAAGAGGCTAGCACGGGTGAGACCTCCTCCACCCATTCCACCCACTACCCACGGGCTGTGGAGCGGTGCCCATAGCCTCCCGCTACTCGCCCCTTGTCAGTTGTGCACTGGCTTGACCTACTCGTGTGCCTTTTACCTCACCTTATTTCTTGATTATGAGAAAATTTCAGGGAAATTTAGGCCCAAACTTAGTCTTTTACGTCGATAGCTGTAAAAATAGTGTGAAAGAAGCTAACTTCATTTCGCAAATGTCTTACCCATTCCTGTACCCAGATGTGATTTACCCGTAACTGCGCACCCGTAATTTCCCCAAAGACTGTACACAGCCCAACCCGTTACCCATTCGATATGGATACCATGGGCTTGCCCGACCCGAGCATTCATTTACTACAACATCCGGACTTACCCTTGGTGATGACAAGGAACCACTTAAATACACTGGCTCTCCAGCACACCAGATCCTTGCGTTATTGTAATCCTATCGTTGATGACACGGTGGCCCTTTAGGACTCAGCAGGACTCCCTCCTTTAAGTCGGAGCAGAGGCTTCCCGTTGTATGTATAGCTGCTTGAACTGGGTGGTTAACTCTCTACTGTTCAGGATTTGGGCCTTCTTGCTATCAAGACACGGGCCTCCCGCCGTATCTTGGTTCTTTAACACCTAAGATATTTCTGTTGTTGTGGTCTTGGGCGACATATTCATTCTTTACCATACGAAACTCTTTCACTTCGCCTTTGTTCCCCTGCCATCTTTTCTGAAGTTTCACAATCACAGAGAAGACCCAAGCGAGGCGATTGTGGGACCACAGCATAGTATGGACGTTCCTGCGTGGACGGCACCACTTGAACGGCTGGGTCTCGGGGCCCTCCCATCTTCGCAGGGTGTGTATGGACCATGACCACGTGTTGTGCACATATTACCGGAACGTTTAGGATGCCCATACATTTACCTTGCCAGCCATTCAATTGTAAACAAATGCTGGTAATGCTAAGCTGCATCAGTGAGATACGGCACCCCTACTCGGACGCTGCTAGATACAGCACTCCGGTGAACCATGGCATCGCTGAGTGTTCCAGGTCAGAGCCAGGGTATCTGGAGCAGAGTCAAGGCAGGCACATTGCCAGGGAGCAGGGGACACGCCCCAACTCCCAAGGCTAAGTGGGGTGCACCGCATACCGAAATATTTCGCAGGAGTTCAGCGCAAATTCCCAGGGTTCGGACATAACTTAACGTCTCTTCTCACCCTCCCCACCCCACCTGAACAAGATTCTGACCACATGTCTGGCCCATCTGGCCCAGGACAAAGCAATCAAGGATGTGAATCCAACTTATCAGCGATTTCAAAGCCAGACAGGCAGTTATCCACGTATTTGAACCTAGAAGCACGAGCTCCAGAAGCTTGCGGAACTCTAAATGTATGTAGCCCCTCTTCGCATTACCTGCTTATTCGCCCTTGCGTGTCTGGATACAGGTGTAGCAAGGATGGGAACTCAGACTCCAAGGAAACATCACCGCGACACCACATTCCCGCGCTGTCCGGGATCCAGGAACACCGCGAGATCTTTGAGTAAGCCATGCCAGTTGGCGACAGCCCTCCCCACAGCGACGTTGCGCTTGGACACCCCCATCGGCTCTGTCCGGTCAGCTTGGCGCCGTGCTCCGTCACCGAGTCCCAGCTCCGACCGCAGAAAAGGACGGCCGCCGCGTGCGAGGCCGCGTGACGGTCTGCCTAATTGATGTGACGGCGAGCGGCGGCCGGCCAAAGTCGGGCCGCGGGCGGCGAGCGGCGAATTGGGCCGGTTTCCCGTCGTGCAAGATTGATTGGCCGGGGCGCGACGGACGGCTCGGCCCGCACAGGCGGCGGCGCACTCGGCTGCAGACCCCGCCCGCGGTCAGGTCAGGGGGACGTGCACGTCAGCAGGCGGCAGGCACTCGGCTGCAGGTCCTCCCTGCAGTCAGGTCGGGGGA